GATTAGGAAAGCCCTTACTTTAGAAAACTTTAAAAAGAGTCTCAAGACCTGGCTCTGCTGTTGCGCTTTTGGAGAGTAGTCACATAATTTTATGCTATTGCTCCCTCAACGCTCTTGTCCCAGGAGTTCTCCCCCTCCCCCCAATGTATGAAGGTTTGTTTATTTTCCCGTCTCTCTATGAGTTCTCACTTACAAATAGTTCTGCCCCTTTATCTCACCCTGAGTTTTTAAATCATTTTATGTACATGCGGCCCGCTCTCTGTCATTATGTTTGGTTTCTATGTTCTGTGTATATTGTTTATGTGCTTTGATGTTTTATACTTTAATGTTATGTTGTTTATTTTATTGCAATTTGTATTTTTGTATTGTAATTTGTTGTTTGGGCTTGGCCTCATGTAAGCTGCTCCGACTCCCCGTTGGGGAAGATGGTGGCGGGGTATAAACAAAGTTGTTTATTATTATTATTATTATTATTATTATTATTATTATTATTATTATTATTATTATCATTGAGTGATTCAATATGTCCATAGACTCCATTATTCTGGATGGCCTGGCTATCAACCCTCCAAGGTCCAGGCAAATAGAGCCATTTACTTATTTTCTATGCAAATGGATCTGCTTGAGTCCTTTGTTAGGGGATTATTGGCTCAGGAAGTTTGGAAACTCCAAGGGCCATGAGTTGCTGGTTTATGAAAAGGCAGTTTTGCTTCATATTTTCTTATATAGACATACATACATATAGGGAATGGGAGCATATACAGAGTTCATAGGGAAGGGGGGATCATGCAGGGTTGAAGGGGAATTCATGCCAGACCCTGCCCCCCCACCATGTCCATTAATAAAAACAGGAGGAGAGACGGGGGATATGGGATCTTTCCAGCCTGATGTCCTTGGCAAAACTATGAATTCCCTGATTCTGAACTATCTTTTGCAGAGCCCTGGGGAGAAGGGGTGGTCACCTCCGATTACAATTGTTCTCACCTTTCCTATCCCTGTTAGCTCCTCCTATCATCCAACCTTTTGTTAAGTTAACCTATCATCCAAACTTTTCATCAGCTGGGCTCACCTCCAACTGCCTCAACTAACCCAGCCTTGCCTTCCCTTGGGATGGCCATGTCATGCTACTTAGCTTTTCTTCTGGTATGCTGCTTCTGCTCTGGTGTTTGGCTTCTAGTTTCTCCAGATCCTGGGCTTTTGTCTCAAGGTCGAACCCAGCTGCAACAAGCCCATGAATTGGCTCGACACTCCCAATATGGGAGTTGTTGGACTGGGGCCTTGGAGCAAGTGGATACTGGCTGTAGGGAGTTGGATGAAGAGAAGCAAAGCCGCATTGCACTTGCCTTTGCTCATTGCCACCTGCAAAGGTGAGTCAGGCCTCCTCAATTTGTCATGGCAATCCCAATTAATCCTATGTTATTCCCACTTTTTTCAGCTGCTTTTAAAGTCTCCCAGTTTCTCCTCTACTCCTTCCCTGACTTCCCTCTTTGTCCCCAGCTTGCTTCAATTGCTGCAGTCTGAGCGCCAAAGATGTTAATGGGAGGGGGGAGAAGAGGTGGCATAATCCTGCCCTTCCCAATAGGCTCAGGCAAAAGCAAACTGCTGCACCATCTCCCAACTTGTCTGTTCTTCCTCATTAATAACTTGCACTGTCTTTATTACACTATGCTGGCTGGCTGATACCCAAACAGGGGATGAGCTGGAGATGTCTCTGCCTTGGTCTCTGCTACTTCCCGGCGGATGTCAGGTGGTGCAATACCGGCTAAGCAGTGTAATTTTTCCAATGGTGTAGGGTGCAGACACCGCGTGATAATGCGGCATTAAGAGCCACATCTACTGTTTTAGTGTGGTGAGATGTGTTCCACACTGGGCATGCGTACTCAGCAGCAGAGTAGCATAGCGCAAGGGCAGATGTCTTCACTGTGTCTGGTTGTGATCCCTAGGTTGTGCCAGTCAGCTTTCGTAGGGCTGTCCAAACACAGAAAAATTTGTTTCTAAACTCGATTCGTTTTTAGGGGTTTTTTGCGTTTCGTTATTTAAAAGAATGCCGAAATTTTCCTTAAAAAAAGTTCGATATTTACGAAATTTCGGAAATTGTAAAAACAATTACGAAACAATTACGAATCGATTACGAATCGATTCGTTAATGGTGGCCGCGATCGCGCAATACGCTAAAAAAACTTCTGAAGCTTCCCTCTCCCTCTGTTGTTGACTGTTGGTGTGATAATTATTTTTTTTTCACTGAGAAAACAAACAGCAACCCTAAAACTTGCACCAGACATGCGGAAATAATAACGAAACATTTACGAATCAATAACAAAACAGTAACGAATCAATAACGAAACATTTGCGAAACGAATTGGAAAAATTCATTTCGTTTTTTAGTTGCTCCTGAATGGTTCAATATCGCTTCGTTATAAAAAAATAACGAATTTTTAACGAATTACGAAATTACAAAACGAAACCGCCCAGCCCTATGATATTGTTTCTAGCACCCACTTTTTGTTTGATGTTCAGTCAGTGCTTCTTGTAGGTATCAGCCAGCACGTCAATGACTTAAATATAGAAATAGTTTTCTAAGATCTACAGAGATACTCGCTGGAACACCTCAGTAAGCGAGAGTCCAAAAGTAGCAGGCTCAAACCCAGAACCTCAACCAATGGCTGATACCAAATGAGAGACTCCCTCCTGGGCACACAGAAGACTGGGCGCTGAACAGACTGTGCTCTGGCACCACGACATGCAGAGCCAACCTCAAGAAATGGGGCCACAAAGTGGAATCCACGACATGCGAGTGTGGAGAAGAGCAAACCACTGACCGCCTACTGCAGTGGTTCTCTACCTGGGGTCCCCAGATGTTTTTGGCCTTCAACTCCCAGAAATCCCAACAGCTGGTAAACTGGCTGGGATTTCTGGGAGTTGTAGGCCAAACACATCTGGGGATCCCAGGTTGAGAACCACTGACCTACTGCGATGCAACCTGAGCCCTGCTACATGCACAATGGAGGACCTTCTTGCAGCAACACCAGAAGCCCTCCAAGTGGCCAGATACTGGTCAAAGGGCATTTAATCAACTACCAAACTCGCAAATGTTGTATTTTGTCTGTTTGTTTGTTTGTTTTGTTCTGTTTGAAATGTAATACAATTGACTTGTTGCCCTGACACGACAAAAAAAAAGCACATTGTGGCCCTATCTACATTGCCAGATCATGTAGTTTAACTGCATTGAACTGGATTATATGAGTTTTCACTGCCATATTATGCAGTTTGATGCAGTTAGACTGCATTATATGAAAGTGTAGATGGGGCCTGTGATGTTACTTGTGATGTCACCAAAAGTATTTCCTTGGTAAAGGGGTTGTATTGGAGCAGGGGGAGTGGGAAATAAAGAGGCAAGAGTCTTGGTTTAAACCCTATTTAAGGAAAATAGGTTTGCTATTTGATGTACTATTCCTTCAGGATGCCTGTCCCATTAATACTGGTGTAAAGGGCTAATATACAACAGCTTGTGCTGTTTTCCCCATGGCTTCACTTCCAGTAACAGGTGGCCTTGCATTTGGGGATCTCCAACCAGCTGCTGCTGTTAGAGGAGGAGTAGATGAAAAGAAAACAAGAGGAATGTTCGTTTCTGGTAGCATGTTAAAATCACTTAGGAAAATAAATAATATGGATATCTTCATGGGAGGCGTATTACTGTCAGAAAGTGACAGGCAAGGGATTTCAACAGAAGATGAAAGAAGCAAGGGAAGAGTTGACTTAGATCAGGAGTCCTCAAACTTTTTAAACAGAGGGCCAGGTCACAGTTCCAACTGTTGGAGGGCCGGATTATGACTTGAGGAAAACACTGCACAGATCTTATTTGTAGTTCAAAAAAACACTTTAAAACAATATAATAATTAAAATGAAGAACAATTTAAACAAATATAAACTTATTAGTATTTCAGTGGGAAGTGTGGACCTACTTTGGCTGACGAGACAGGATTGTTATTGTTGTTGTTGTGTGCTTTCAAGTCGTTTCACACTTAGGCTGACCCTGAGCGAGGGCCAGGTAAATGACCTTGGAGGGTTGTATCTGGCCCTAGGGTCTTAGTTTGAGAACCCCTGGTCTATGTCATCAGTGAGGCAGATAAGAGGAAGAGGAAACAGGACAACATTGAGCCTCAGCCTTGAAGAAAGAGGAACTCCTGGGGTCAGCTCTACCATAAAATAGATTAGGTAGCTGACTCAGGCTTGTAAGTGGAGGAGTTTGCTATTATGACTATGTTTATCTGCTAGAGCAGTGGTCCTCAATCTTTGTTTTCCCAGGTGTTTTGGTCTACAACTACCAGAAATCCCAGCCAATTTACCAGCTGTTAGGATTTCTGGGAGTTGAAGGCCAAAACATCTGGGGACCCACAGGTTGAGAACCAATGTACTAGAGTAGCGTTTCTCAACCTGGGGGTCGGGACCCCTATGGAGGTCGCGAGGGGGTGTCAAAGGGGTCCCCAAAGACCATCAGAAAACACAGTATTTTCTGTTGGTCATGGGAGCTCTGCATAGGAAGTTTGGCCCAATTCTATTGTTGGTGGAGTTCAGAATGCTCTTTGGTTGTAGGGGAACTATAAATCCCAGCAACTACAACTCCCAAATGTCAAGTTCTGTTTTCCCCAAACTCCACCAGTGTTCACATTTCAGCATATCGGGTATTTGCGCCAAGTTTGGTCCAGATCCATCATTGTTTGAGTCCACAGTGCTCTCTGGTTGTAGGTGAACTACAACTCTCAAACTCAAGGCCAATGCCTACCAAACCCTCCCAGTATTTTCTGTTAGTCATGGGAGTTCTGTGGGCCAACTTTGGCCGATTTCCATTGTTGGTGGAGTTCAGAATGCTCTTTGATTGTAGGTGAACTATAAATCATACACAGCCTTTTGAGGGAAGATCTGCGGTATCCAGATATTTCAAGACTGTATCTATAATGTTTGCCTCAGCTTCTTCCATAACGTTTGTCTTCTCCTTGCAGGTCTGGGAGGAGGTTTCCACCTTGCAAGCCCCACAGCTCCATCCGTGACTGCACACAGCACATGGACTCAGTGGCGTTTGGGGTCTACACAGAGTTCTTCACTCATGCTCATAGCATTTGCTATTTTCTGCACAATGAAGCCTGGCAGCAACGAGCTCAAGACACTGTACACAGGTCGGGAAAACCGAGCCCCTTTTTTGTTTTTCAAAGAGGCATGTTGTTCATTTTTATTGAATGCCTTCAAGTTGTTGTAGGTTTTTCGGGCTATATGGCTATGTTCTAGAACAGTGGTTCTCAATCTGTGGGTCCCCAGGTGTTTTGGCCTACAACTCCCAGAAATCCCAGCCAGTTTACCAGCTGTTAGGATTTCTAGGAGTTGAAGGCCAAAACATCTGGGGACCCACAGGTTGAGAACCACTGTTCTAGAAGCATTCTCTCCTGATGTTTCACCTGCATCTATGGCAAGCATCCTCAGAGGTTGCGACCTCACAACCTCTGAGGATGCTTGTCATAGATGCAGGCAAACTATCAGGAGAGAATACATCTAGAACATGGACATATAGCCTGAAAAACCTACAACAACCCAGTGATTCTGTCACGAATGCCTTCGACAATGCCTTCAAGTTGACTCTGACTTACAACGTCCCTCTTCTAGTGTTTCTTTGGTCATATGTATTCAGAGGAAATTTGCCACTGCCTTCTTCTAAAGTTCAGAGGTTGTGACATTCCTCCTACAAACCAAGAAGTATCCTTTTTAGGGCATGACAATCCTCCTTGAGTATATGTATATCTACAGATGATCAAAATTAACTCTAGATTATTCTATTCTAGTATTATTAGAATATAATACAATAGTAGTACTATTCTAACAATATAATATTGTATATACATATAATATTGATAATATTATAATGTAATGCTATATAATCATCATCATAAGATATTATAATTATATATTTATATTACATGTAATATTACTAATAATATTACGATTTAGTAATATTATGGTGCAGTATAGCAATATTTAATGCTGATATTGTACTATGTTAATAATATAATATATTGTATGTAATATATACCTTGTAAGCCGCTCAGAGTCCCCTTCGGGGTAAGAAGGGTGGCATATAAATGTCGTAAATAAATAAAATAAATAAATAGATTTCGTACAGGCAGATCCTGATTTACAAACATCCAACTTAGAAACAACTCTTAGGGCCCTTCCACACAGCTATATAACTCAGAATATCAAGGCAGAAAATCCCACAATATCTGTTTTGAACTGGGTTATTGGAGTCCACACTGCCATATATTCCAGTTCAAAGCAGAAAATGTGGGATTTTATTCAGCTGTGTGGAAGGGACTCCACTGTGATGGGTCTGGACCAAACTTGGCACAAATTCTCAATATGCCCAAATGCAAACACTAGTGGAGTTTGGGGGAAACAGGCGTTGAGATTTGGGAGTTGTAGTTGCTGGGATTTATAGTTCACTTACAATCAAAGAGCATTCGGAACCCTACCAACGATTGAATTGGGCCAAACTTCCCACACAGAACCTCAATGACCAACAGAAAATACTGTGTTTTCTGGTGGTCTTTGGTGATCCCTCTGATACCCCCTCGCGACCCCTCCAGGGGTCCCAATCCCCAGGTTGAGAAACACTGAGCTAAACATTAGTCAGCAATGTGACACAGCAGCCAGAATACCAATGCAATCCTGAACTGCATCAGTAGGAATATAGTGTCCAGATCAAGGGAGGTAATAATGCCAATAAATTCTCCTTCTAGATGTCTTTCTGTTGGGATTGTATATTCCTGCATGACAGATTGGGGTTGGATTGGGTGGTCCTTTGATGTCTTCCAACTCCGTGATTACTTCTGTTGACTCAAAATGATGTTTTCTTTTAATGAAAAATATTTGCCTTATTTGTTGCTGAATCACACTGTTGGGTCAGGTTGATAATAACTTTATTGGTACCCCGCCTTCATCTCCCAAGGGGACTCGGGGCAGCTGACATAGGGCCAAGCCAAACAATTACAATAAAACAAAATAAAATACATACATATATACAAGAGACATGACAACATCAAGTAAAAATGTTTATAAAAATGCTTATACAATAATATAATCTATATAAATAAAAATGTAATGTTCATTTGTTGAATTAACATAACTCAAACACAACTGAATGAATTGCCACCAAATTTGGACACACTAACCCAAGGAGTGACCATCATTCAGAAAATCGATTTTGTTATTTGGGAGTTATAGTTGATGGGATTTATAGTTATCCTACAATCAAAGAGCATTCTGAACTCCACCAATGATGGAATTTAACCAAACATGGCACACAAAACTCCTATAACCAACAGAAAACACTAGAAGGGTTTGGTGGGCATTGACCTTGAGTTTGGGAGTTGTAGTTCACYTACATCCAGAGGGCACTGTGGACTCAGCCAATGATGGATCTGGACCAAACTTGGCACGAATATTCCATATGCCCAAATATGAACACAGATGAAGTTTGGGAGAAATAGACCTTGACATTTGGGAGTTGTAGTTACTGTGATTTATAGTTCACCTACAAGAGCATTCTGAAACCCACAAACGACAGAATTGGGGCAAACTTCCCACACAGAACYGCCATGATCAACAGAAAATACTTTAGAYCATCCAGTCCAACTCCCTTCACCAAGGCAAGAAAATGTAATCAAACCCCTCCTGATAATGAGCCATCCAGCCTATTTAGATAGATATATATGATTCACACAGARAGAGATATAGTATCATAGATTTGAAAGGAACCTCTAAAGAAGGACAATTATATGTTGCCTGTTCCAGAGTAGGCAAACCAGACAATCTCCACATCAACACTGACAAAGAAACAAGAAGAAATACTGTTTACCCACAAGCATCAAGAAACTACATATATTAGAAACTAACATCTTCACATTATTGTCGAAGGCTTTCATGGCTGGAATCACTGTGTTGTTGTATGTTTTTTTCAGGCTATATGGCCATGGTCTAGAGGCATTCTCTCCTGATGTTTCGCCTGCATCTATGGCAAGCATCCTCAGAGGTAGTGAGGATGCTTGCCATAGATGCAGGCAAAACGTCAGGAGAGAATACCTCTAGACCATGGCCATATAGCCCAAAAAAATCTACAACAACCCACATCTTCACATTACTTTATTTTCCAAATCACCAGACTGGGCCACAGCAACACGTGGCAGGGGATGACTAGTAATTATAATACAATAAACAATAAGATAATTACAATAAAACAGGGTATAAAAAACAATACAGTAATTTAGATGAGTGCGAGCTAGGCCAAACACGAGGAGTGAAAAATGTTTAAAACTTGTGGGTGAGGTAGATAAATAAAGTGCTGTATTTAGAGAGAGACTTGGGTGGGATAAACAGTGAGGTTATTCTCAAATAAGCGGTTTTTTGTTGTTTTTTGGTCGTGTTAGGAGCAACTTGAGAAACTACAAGTTGCTTCTGGTGTAAGAGAATTGGTCGTCTGCAAGGACGTTGCCCAGGGGACGCCCGGATGTTTTGATGTTTTATCATCCTTGTGGGAGGCTTCTCTCATGTCCCTGCATGGGGAGCTGGAGCTGATAGAGGGAGCTCATCTGTGCTCTCCCCGGATTCGAACCTGCGACCTGTCGATCTTCAGTCCTGCCGGCACAGGGGTTTAACCGACTGCACCACCGGGGGCTCCTTATCCACTAAGCGGTGGATAAAGTGCATCAGAAAACCAAGTGACACTGAGACAGGACCTGACATGGGAATAATTCATTCTTCAAAAGCACATCGGAAAAGCCAAGTTTTTAAACTTTTCCGAAAGGCTGCCAGGTTGGGTGCTTGCCTAATCTCCCTGGGGAGCGATTTCCAGAGCCGAGGGGCCACCATGTTCATTTCATGGTCAACAGTAATCCCAAAGTCATTATCACATGTCCTACTGCTAAGGCAAACATCCTTCATTCAATGCTTCCACATTTAATTTTATGGCCTAATTGTAGGATTTTCCTTAGGCTAAACTGTGTATTTCCATCTGAGCAGTTGGAGCGGTTTGCTCCCAAAGTAGGACACTTGTTCTAGATGGGGAGAGGGAGCAGAGTTGAGCTACTCAAGACTGACACCCTAATTCCAATGTTTCCCGGAGCAGGTTAGTTTTGATGTGACAGGATAGTCTAATTTGGGAAGCGTGGGCCATCAGACTGGCTTAATGTCAACGTTTGTCTAGCTGGCACTTGGAAGTCTATCACAAGCAGCTCTGTGCAGGGAAGGAAAGAATCAAACCGCTGTGTTAGATTTATACCTAGATGAGGTGTAACTACAGCTCAGCAATCAGGAGGCAGAGAGGATGATAACTTTGCCTAAAATTATGACTTACCGAGAAAGTAGGTTCCCCAGAGGATTTTTAGATATTTGGATATTTACAAACGGTTATTGTTGTTTCTGAGTGCCTTCGTCGTTTCCAGTGGGCGTCCTTAAGGCAAACCTATCATTTATTTATTTATTTATTTAGAACACTAGTTGTACCCGCCAAACGTTGCTTGACCAACCTTCCCTCCCTCTTCCTCTCCTTCTTTCTTTCTCTCCTTCCTTCCCTTTTATTCTTTCCTTCTCTCCTTCCTTCCTTCCTTCCTTCTCTACCTCTTTCCTTCCTTCCCCTCCCTTCCTTCCCCTCCCTTTTTCTTTCTCTCCTTTCTTCCTTCTCTACCTTTTCTTGGACTGTAACTCCCAGCAGCCCTCCTGATTGATATATTTACCAACTATCTACCTCTATCTAATCTATCTTATCTATCTGGAGTTGCATGGTTCCAGTTCATACAACTTAAGGAATACTACAAAAATAAGTTTCATGGAAAAAGACGACTTTCAAGATAGAATCATATTGAAAGAAAAAAAATTATAATCGAGATTTATAACAAGCTGCTGGACTGGACGACGGAGACAGAGCTAGTTAAAGAATGCATGATCAAATGGGCATCAAATATTGGAAGAGCGATAAAACTGAATGAATGGGAGAAGCTGTGGACTAAAAAGATCAAATACACCTACTCGACAGATTTAAAGGAGAATTTGATTAAGATGTTCTTTAGGTGGTATATGACCCCTCAAAAACTAAGCGTAATGTACAGAAATACCCAGAACAAATGCTGGAAATGCGATATGCAGGTCGGAACATTCTTTCACGCCTGGTGGACATGCCCCAAAGTGAAGACCTTTTGGAAGATGGTACGAGAGACATGCGAGAAAATATTGAGAATAAAGATCCAGCTGAAACTGGAATACTTTCTGTTGGGACTAACAGATGAAGAAGTTGAAAGGAACCGAAACAAGGACATTTTATTTAAATACCTCTCTACTGCCGCTAGAATGGTAATAGCAAAAAAATGGAAACAAAGTGAACTTGCAACGAAAGAAGAATGGCTAAATAAAATTCAAGAAATTAAAGATCCGGATAAATTAACGTTTGCCTTCAAATAATCTTATGGAAGACCGATCGTAAAGACAAACTGGAAAATAGTGGACGACTACTTCACTGAAGACAAAAATTGGGGGAAAAAACGAATAGACAAAAAAACGAATAAAAAGAAAGGAAGAGTATGACACATGAAAGCATTATAGAAGAGAAAGAAAAGAGGATAAAGGAAACATCAAGAGCACGATATAAGTGGAAAAGGAAGACTTTTTAAAGGTAAAATGGAACAGACCGGCAGTGGATATGTGGAGAAGAAGATTGGAAGTTGACGTGAATTCCCCTACCCCCCCCCTCCCTTCCTGCACCCTCTACACTCCCCCTTTTTTCTGTTTTGACTATTAACCCTCCCCCCCCCCCTATAAAATGTCTATGTATACATTCGGCCCAATGTCACCCTATACCCTTATCCTGTTTTTATGTATAATTAAAGAGAAAATGTATTTAATAAAAAGTATTTTTTTAAAAAAAAGATAGATTAGATAGAGGTAGATAGCTGGTAAATAGATCAATCTATTCCTGGACTGCTGGGAGTTGCACTCCAGGAAGATAAAATAGGAAATATATATGGATTGGGATGCTCTCAAAGAAATCCAAGGAGAAGCAAGCTTGCAGCTTTGGAAGCAGTGCATTTGGAGCATCCTCCTCCCCTAAAGGGCCTGGTCTAGGGGATGCTGGGAGATGTCATTTTTGCACATGCGCTAGATTGTGATTTTGGGGATTTTTAAGTCCTTTCCACTGTTTTTTGGGAGGGGTTTATGAGTGACGGTCACTCGTTGGTCTGTTAGGGATGTAGTGTCCAAATTTCGTGTCAATTTGTTCAGTGGTTTTCGGGTTTTCTAAATCCCACAAACGAACATTATATTTTTATTTATATAGACTAGCCGTCCCCTGCCACGCCTTGCTGTGGCCCACTCTGGTGGTCATGGGGGTTCTGTGTGGGAGGTTTGACCAAATTCTATCGGTGGTGGGGTTCAGAATGCTCTTTGATTGTAGGTGAACTATAAATCCCAGCAACTACAACTCCCAAATGTCAAGATCCCCCACCCCCCCAATCTCCACCAGTGTTCACATTTGGGCATATTGAGTATTTGTGTACAGTTTGGTCGAGATCCATCATTGTTTGAGTCCACAGTGCTCTCTGAAAGTAAGTGAACTACAACTCCAAAACCAAAGAACACTGCCCACCAAACCCTTCCGGTATTTTCTGTTGGTCATGAGAGTTCTATGTGCCAAGTTTGGTTTAATTCCATTGTTGGTGGGGTTCAGAATGCTCTTTGATTGTAGGTGAACTATAAATCCCAGCAAGTACAACTCCCAAATGACAAAATCAATTTTTTTAGTGAAGGACATACATTGGGTAGTTAGGTGTCTTGTGTCCAAATATGGTGTCAATTCATCCAGTGGTTTTTGGGTTCTGTTAATCCCACAAACGAACATTACATTTTTATTTATATAGATTTATATTCCGCCATTCTCACCCCGAAGGGGACTCAAGGCAGAGCACAACATACAAACGGCGAAGAGTCAATGCCGGGATCGGAATAAATTATATGCATACATAAACATTAAAAAAAAATCTCGACATTAAAATACACTATTTAAAACCTTCCCGATAATCCGCATCAAATCTAGATGGCATGGTAAGGTTTCCTATCGCTTCCTTAATGGGGGCTGAAAGTGTGTTGCCAGTGGATTATCAGGACCAAGCAGGGATTCACAGAATCATAGAATCCTAGAGTTGGAAGAGACCTCATGGGCCATCCAGTCCAACCCCCTGCCAAGAAGCAGGAATATTGCATTCAAATCACCCCTGACAGATGGCCATCCAGCCTCAGTTTAAAAGCTTCCAAAGAAGGAACCTCCACCACATTCTGGGGCAGAGAGTTCCACTGCTGAATGGCTCTCACAGTCAGGAAGTTCTTCCTCATGTTCAGATGGAATCTCCTTTCCTGTAGTTTGAAGCCATTGTTCCACGTCCTAGTATCCAGGGAAGCAAAAAACAAGCTTGCTCCCTCCTCCCTGTGGCTTCCTCTCACACATTTATACATGGCTATCATATCTCCTTTCAGCCTTCTCTTCTTCAGGCTAAACAGGCCCCGCTCCTTAAGCCACTCCTCATAGGGCTTGTTCTCCAGACCCTTGATCATTTCAGTCGCCCTCCTTTGGACACATTCCAATCCTGCTCTCCAGAAACATAGTCCAATATTCAAACCACTATGCCATACGATCTCTCTGCGGGCTGATATATCTGGGAGGAAAGCAAAGACTGGAGAAATTATATTCCAGCCTGGGGGGAAAACAGAGCTTTAAATTGGACATTTTAGCTGGGGCAGAATCTCTATTGTCACGGTTTAGAAATTAGCTGGAGTGTAGTGAATTGGAGTCCAACAAATCAGAGCCCTGGTTTGAGGAAAGTCACTCTAGCTCTAGCTGTAATACTGAATGGGTTTCTGCTTCCTCTGATCATTCTAGACTGACATCCTCTTCTGAGTCTGTGGCCCGCCAGCTCCAGTCAACCAACCAACTTGCAGAAGAAATAGCCCAGGCACAGGATGCCACCTTACGCTCTCAGGAACAGATCCTGCAAGATGGGGAGGTTCTCCGACAGGCCCTCCAGGACTCTTCCAAAGGTAACGTAGGGGCTGGAGCAGAATTCATGCTTTGAAAACCCTACCAAGCTGTGAAATTGTTGTCTTTGAAGAGTGCACAACTAGATTGCTGTCTCAGATGTTGTTGGACCGCAGCTCCTATGATTCCACATCACCTTTCGCTTTGGTGCTTAGAGTTGATGAATGTTGTAGTTCGACAGTTGATAAACACAATTGTACAGTATTTATTTATCGTGTCAAGAGCGAACCAAACAGTTGTATTGCATTAAAACAAACAAACAAAACACAAAGTTTGCAAGCTTGGTAGTTGATTAAATGTCCTTTGACCAGTAGCTGGCCACTTGGAGTGCCTCTGGTGTTGCTGCAAGAAGGTCCTCCATTGTGCATGTGGCAGGGCTCAGGTTGCATTGCAGCAGGTGGTCAGTGGTTTGCTCTTCTCCACACTCGCATGTCTTGGATTCCACTTTGTGGCCCCATTTCTGAAGGTTGGCTCTGCATCGCGTGGTGTCAGAGCGCAGTCTGTTCGGCATCTTCCAAGTCACCCACCCATTTCTTAAGATTGGCTGTGCATCTCGTGGTGCCAGAGCGCAGTCTGTTCAGCGCCTTCCAAGTCACCCAGTCTTCTGTGTGCCCAGGGGGGAGTCTCTCATTTGGTATCAGCCATTGGTTGAGGTTCTGGGTTTGAGCCTGCCACTTTTGGACTCTCGCTTGCTGAGGTGTTCCAGCGAGTGTCCCTGTAGATCTTAGAAAACTATTTCTAGATTTAAGTCGTTGACGTGCTGGCTGATACCCAAACAGGGGATGAGCTGGAGATGTCTCTGCCTTGGTCCTTTCACTATTGGCTGCTACTTCCCGGCGGATGTCAGGTGGTGCAATACCGGCTAAGCAGTGTAATTTCTCCAGTGGTGTAGGGCGCAGACACCCCGTGATAATGCGGCATGTCTCATTAAGAGCCGCATCTACTGTTTTAGTGTGGTGAGATGTGTTCCACACTGGGCATGCATACTCAGCAGCAGAGTAGCATAGCACAAGGGCAGATGTCTTCACTGTGTCTGGTTGTGATCCCCAGGTTGTGCCAATCAGCTTTCGTATGATGTTGTTTCTAGCGCCCACTTTTTGCTTGATGTTCAGGCCTGATTGGTTCTTGGATGGGAACTGCCTATTAATACAAATGCTATAGGCTATATTTTGGAAGAAAGACCTGCCTGAATATGTTTTGCCTACAAAAACTCTGCTCTAAGATCTCTCCCTGTTGAAAAAAAAATAGAGGAGTGAACTGGCAAAGCCACCCCTGAGTGTGAAATGAATGAGGTCACCATGAGTTGGCAGGTAACTTGACTCACAAACACATAAATAAACTGCTGTATATATTGAATCCAATAACAAAGGATGCTTGGATTCTCATCTACTAAGTTAGAAAAACATGGAGGAAACAATGAATTGAGCAGTTGCTTCTTTCTTCTGCAGGTGTGCGCCAGGCTTTCCAAGAACTGCAGGATTCAGCACTTGAGCAGAGAGTTGCCTTTGCAGAGATCTTCAACCGGGTGACATTTCTGCACCGCTTTGTCGTGGGCGAGTCCAGTGCCCTCTACTCCCTTTTCTTCCATCTCCTGAGTGGCATCGCCAGCCTGGTACTAACCTCTTGCCAACGGACTTCAGGAGCACGGTGAGACCCAAGAAGATAAAATAACAGTAGAGAAGTCCTTGATAGGGTTAAGAAGAGGTTACTCTCTCTGGGTTTATCTGGTTACATTTTGGTAAGAAAACTTTGTAATTATATATATGAAATAGATACAGTACACAGAAAGGTACAAGTTATATAGAAAATCATGAAGAATTTATCCGATTTATCCTAGGGTTAGATATTATAGAGTTTAGGAGTTTACAGCTGCTGTGGTTCAGTCTTGATCTTCTGGAGCTTTGAACTTGCAAAGGGGTCTTTTAAGAAGCAAAAAATCATGGCTAAAATCTTGGAGAGCAGTCAAGAGTTGACATGGCAACTCTTCCCATATGAACCTGCCCAATTTTTTTTAGCAGAAACCCTGCTGTATGTTCCAATATCTTGCAAGACTAAATTGTGGCCTGCGCGTTTGTGGAACTCTCTGTCTAATTTCTCTAATCACAGCTAAAGCCGTTTTCGAATTGCTTAGGTAAACAATGAGCTAGGCTGACAGTTGGCAGCTCACGCCAACCTGGGGCTTCAAACTTGCAACCTTTTGGTTGATAGATCTTATAATTACTGATGATTTTCCAGCTGTTTGAGGATTCTGGAATGAAATATATATACATATTTTAAATAAATCATTTAATAAATAACCAACCGATCAGGTACCTCCTTGAGGATACTATTTGTCTTGCTCGTTATTTGGTTCTGTAGCTGGTAGATATTACTGAAACTCCATGGTTCTATATACTACAGCCTTCTATCGAACACCAAAAAATTCTGTGTAGATCTACAATATGGTTTTTCTTTGATGTAGGTGTTCTCTGATGTCAGTAACAGGTGATGAGGAAGGAAAGCCACACATTATGGCTCCCATGCCCACAGATTTCATATTCATGGACGATATAACACCTCCCAAAATTTCCCCCCGCAGAAGTGTTTCTGTGCCTCTCTGGATCCAAGTGGGATTTTGTGGTATGCTTCTGGCCAAAGGATAGTCAAAATATAGGCTTCACCATTATCCATGATCTCTATTGCAGTCATTGAGCATATTTCACTCAGATAGGAAATGATCATTCCTTGCTTAGTGTCAGTCACTTGTGCAGGATGCCTTGTGAGCTTTCAGATATTATCTTTCATGTTTACAATTACAGTTAGGCGATCTCTTGTTGGCCGAGTAGGATAGTCTTCCAGGATCAGAATTCTTGTGAGCCTGTAGGTGGCTGTGGAGCCCTTTTCTTGATCTGCATCTTCTCCCACAGTGAGGGCATTGGTTTCCAGGTGGAAGGTGGTCCTGGTCGGGGTTGGCTTGACGTGCCTTCCTCTTGGCACGTTTCTCTCTTTCACCCTCCATTCGTGCCTCTTCAAATTCTGCAGCACTGCTGGTCACAGCTGACCTCCAGCTGGGGTGCTCAAGGGCCAGGGCTTCCCAGTTCTCAGTGCCTATGCCAGAGTTTTTACGGCTGGCTTTGTGCCCATGTTTAAATCTCCTTTCCTGTCCACCAACATCCCGTTTTCCATTCTTGAGTTCGGAGTAGGGCAACTGCTTTGGGAGACGGTGGTCGGGCATCCGGACAACGTGGCCGGTCCAGCAGAGTTGATGGCGGAGGACCATCGCTTCAATATCTCTCATAGCATGATGTCTTCAAGAGAGCTAGACATCCAGTGTCATTAAAAAGAGAGCAACAATGTTCAAAATGTCTAACAATGTAGGAGAAATTTGATTTTTTTCTATAATCGTTACCTATAGAGCTAATTTGATTCCTGCTCTTCCATTTCCAGGTTCATTTTGCTGGCCTTGGTTGGTGTAAACATTTACTTAGAGCGTGTTATTTGTGGCTTCCTCATGGATAACTCAGAGGATGACTATGACTTGACGGTAAGACTTTGCAATAAGAGAGAGGCAGAGCTTGGAAAATCTGGATGAGGATTTAAAAACTCAGAAAGTTCAAAACATCAATGGGGAAGTGGTTTAAAAAATATTTTAGGAGGGAAAATAATAATAATACTAAATAAACTTCATTTATACCCCACCACCATCTCCACAACAACGGCTCTCACAGTCAGGAAGTTCTTCCTCATGTTCAGATGGAATCTCCTTTCTTGTAGTTTGAAACCATTGTTCCGCGTCCTAGTCTCCAGGGAAGCAGAAAACAAGCTTGCTCCCTCCTCCCTGTGGCTTCCTCTCACATATTTATACATGGCTATCATGTCTCCTCTCAGACTTCTCTTTTTCAGGCTAAAAATGCCCAGCTCTTTAAGCCGCTCTTCATAGGGCTTGTTCTCCAGACCATTTATCGTTTTAGTCGCTCTCCTCTGGACATATTCCAGTTTGTCAATATCTCTCTTCAATTGTGGTGCCCAGAATTGGACACAACATGGCCATATAGCCCAAAAAAACCTACAACAACCCAGGTTCTGGATAGTTTTTGTAAAATCATAACCCGGGTGATATAGTATTTATTTATTGATTGATTGATTTATGGCATTTATATGCTGCCCTTCTCACCCCAAAGAGGACTCAGAGCAGCTTACAAGATATATTTTCATACAATATATTATATTATTAGCATAATACAATATCAGTATTATATATTACTATATTGCACTATACCATTATATTGTAATATTATTAGTAATATTACATGTAATGTAAATATATATAATTATAATTATAATATTGTATTATTATTACTAGTATTATATTACACTCTAATATTATATTATATTATAATATAATACAATATATTATAATATAATTGTGGCGCAGCTGGCTGAGTGTCAGCTGCATTAAGATCACTCTGACCAAAAGGTCATGAGTTTGAAGCCAGCCCGGGTTGGAGTGGGTTTCCAACCAATTGTGTAGCCTGTTGTCGACCTTTGCAACCCGAAAGACAGTTGCATCTGTCAAGTAGGAAAATTAGGTACCACCTTAAAGTGTGGGGAGGCTAAATTAACTGATTTATGAGGTCATAAAAAAAGACTCCAGCAAAAAGCATGCGGGGAATGCGGAAGTACTTCATCAGTGTCGCAGATGGGCGATGAAAGCGACAGCTCCCCTGGCGGCCAGAAAAAGTTAAATAGCCTCTGTGTATGTTTGTATATGTTGTATGTTAAAATTGGCATTGAATGTTTGCCATATATGTGTACACTGTAATCCGCCCTGAGTCCCCTGCGGGGTGAGAAAGGCGGAATATAAATGCTGTAAATAAATAAATCTATATATATAAATTTGTTAGGGGCATCCAACGAGGAAACAAAACTCAAAAACCCCCCAACGAAACTTAACCAAAATTTCCATGCCCATAACACAACCCACAAGGTACAAACATATCTACTCAAAATGAAAAACAACACAACAACACACTCACAAAACGGCAAAACAACAAAACTCAAAAATCCCCCAACGAAACTTAACCAAAATTCCCATGCCCATAACACAACCCACAAGGTACAAACATATCTACTCAAAATGAAAAACAACACAACAACACACTCACAAAACGGCAAAACAACAAAACTCAAAAAGCCCCCAACGAAACTTAACCAAAATTCCCATGCCCATAACACAACCCACAAGGTACAAACATATCTACTCAAAATGAAAAACAACACAACAACACACTCACAAAACGGCAAAACAACAAAACTCAAAAATCCCCCAATGAAACTTAACCAAAATCCCCATGCCCATAACACAACCCACAAGGTACAAACATATCTACTCAAAATGAAACACAACACAACAACACACTCACAAAACGGCAAAAGAACAAAACTCAAAAAAACCCAACGAAACTTAACCAAAATTCCCATGCCCATAACAGAACCCACAAGGTACAAACATATCTACTCAAAATGAAAAACAACACAACAACACACTCACAAAACGGCAAAAGCAACTGAGCATGCGCATTGGCGCCCAGCCGCAAGTTCCCTTGCGCGCGCACATGCCCTTCCAGCCAACGTTCCCTCTGCGGAAACCATGCCCACTCCAAGCCCCGCCGCGCCGCTTCCCGCACACACACACACCCCTGCCGCACATACACACACAACCCCACACTCCATCACTCCCCCCGCCGCCGCACACACACACGCAACCCCACTCCCCCCGCCGCCGCACACACACACGCAACCCCACACTCCATCACTTCCCCGCTGCCGCACGCACACACGCAACCCCACTCCCCCCGCCGCCGCACACACACACGCAACCCCACGCTCCATCACTCCCCCCGCCGCCGCACGCACACACGCAACCCCACTCCCCCCGCCGCCGCACACACACACACAACCCCACGCTCCATCACTCCCCCCGCCGCCGCACACACACACGCAACCCCACGCTCCATCACTCCCCCACCGCCGCACACACGCAACCCCACCCCCCCCGCCGCTGCACACACACACACAACCCCACGCTCCATCACTCCCCTGCCCCAATCTTACCTCCTTTTACTTCATGCCACCTCCAAACCCCCCCCCGCCCCTTCCCGCCCTGTCAAAATCTAGGAAAGACAGGAAGGAAGGAAAGAAGGAAGAAAGAGAAAGGGAGGTAAAGAAAAAGGGGGAAGGAAGGAAAGTTAGAGAAAGAAGGAAGAAGAAAAGGAAAGAAAAGGAAAGATGGAAGGAAAGAAAAGAGAGACAGCAGAAAAGAAAGAAAAAGGGGGAAGGAAGGAAAGAGATAGAGAAAGAAGAGGAGAAGGAAAGATGGGAGGGAAGGAAGGAAGGAAGGAGGGAAAGAAGGAGAGAAAGAGGGAAGATTGGCCACAGCAACACGTGGCGGGTAAAGGTTGTTATTTCTATTATTATTATTATTATTATTATTATTATTATTATTATGCTATTGTTCCTATGAGACCCTGGAGGAATGGGAGAGGTGTCAGGTCCCAGAGGCAATGCATTGCATTATTGTTATTGTTATGATGGTTGTAAAATAAAAGGAAATAAAAAGTGAAAGAAGGAAGCAAACAGGGAGGGAAGAAAGGCAAAGGAAGAAAGGGGGAGGGAATGAAGGAAAGAGAGAAGGATGAAACCAAGTAGTGAAAGAAAGAAAGAGGTAGAGAAGGAAGAAAGGAGAGAAAGGGGGAGGAAAAGGGGGAAGGAATAGGTAGGGACCTCTCTTTCATAATAGTCCAGATATCTACCTCAACTTTCATAAGTTTTACTATAGGCCACAGCAACGCGTGGCAGGGCACAGCTAGTATATTATATTATTAGTAAAGACAAGATGGTAGACTTTATGCAACATTTTCCTATGTTGCACCCTGTCATGGGTTGCCATAAGGTCCACAAAAACTGTTCCCGTAATGCAACTTTTCCCATAGCCTTCCTCAATATACTCGGTCAGGTTAAGAATTTGAGCTGTACAGTTTTCCCCTGATCTGAAACCTGCTTGTTGTGCAATAAGCTGGAGTTCAGTAGCACCATCTCATATATTTCAAACAGATGGCATAAGAGAGAGGTTACTCTGAAGATGCCAGCCACAGATGTAGGTGAATTGTTAGAAGCGAATGTTGTTGGAACCTGGTCATACACCTCAAAAAACTCACAACAACCCAGTTCATAGAAATAGAAACTAGAAGGTCCTGAACTGTGAGGAAGTTCTTTGATCTTACAAGTTTATCTCCTGCCAAAAAAAAATGCCAAGTAAAAATAAAAGAAAACATCAACATCAGTAAAACAAAGAAAATAATGTTGTCTCCTCCAGTCTTCCAAAGTGTCAAGCCAACGTAAATAATTAATCTCCCTAAAAAGAACTGAGAAAATAATGCCAGGAGTGGGAATTGAAATGATCCGATATTGTAAACTGTCTTACATAAAAGTCGCTCTACCATTTAATCTGGAAATCATGTTGGAGGAGATGGTATAGTATAGAGCAGAGCTTTCCAAAACTTTTAATGTTGGTGAGACACATCTTAGACATGCATCCTTTCACGACATGGTAATTCAGTTTAACTAGCAAATCAGAAGGTTAAATAACCCCTTATAAGAGTTTCATACAAAATGTGTGTGTGTTTCATATAATCTTTACTGTATAAATGAGGTTTGGACATTTTTTCCTTTACACGTCTTATGTACTGCAGTTGTTTTTTGTGTGGTTTTCTCTCGAACTACTCCATGTGGTTCATCACAACATCATTGCCAACAGACTTTTAACTGTTTTATATGTGTGTGTGCATATGTATGTGTATGTGTGTGTGTGTATACACACACACACACACACACACTAGCCATCCCCTGCCACACGTTGCTGTGGCCCACTCTGTGTATATGTGTTTTGTGTGTGTATATATGTGTATTTGTGTATATATATATACTAGCCGTCCCTTGCCACGCCTTGCTGTGGCCCACATGGGGGTTCTGTGTGGAAGATTTGGCCCAATTCTGTCATGGGTGGGGTTCAGAATGCTCTGTGATTGTAGGTGAACTATAAATCCCAGCAACTACAACTCCCAAATGTCAAGATTCTATTTTTCCCAAACTCCCCCAGTGTTCACTTTTGGACATATTGAGTATTCGTGCAGAGTTTGGTCCAGCTCCATCATTGTTTGTGTCCACAGTGATCTCTGGATGTAGGTGAACTACAACTCCAAAACCAAAGGACATTGCCCACCAAACCTTTCCAGTATTTTCTGTTGGTCATGGGAGTTCTGTGTGCCAAGTTTGGTTAAATTCCATCGTTGGTGGAGTTCAGAATGCTCTTTGATTGTAGTTGAACTATAAATCCCAGCAACTACAACTGCCAAATGACAAAATCATTTTTTTTAGTGAAGGACATACATTGGGTTGTTAGGTGTCTTGTGTCCAAATTTGGTGTCAATTCGTCCAGTGGTTTTTGAGTTCTGTTAATCCCACAAATGAACATTACATACATAC